CAGGTTTGGACAAGCATTTGCAATTTAGCATTCGAGAAGATGGATTCAGTGGGCAGTGCAAAGGGAGATAGAGCGGGAATCTGAAGTTTCAGCCGGGGTTTGTGCAGAGCCGTGAGGCCGATGTTCCTGGTAGAGCTGCGCTCCGTGGGCAGGCGGCCCCTGAGGTCCCCATCACAGTGCTGCGCTCCGCAGTGGCCCTGGCCCTCGGCTGGGCACGATGGCTTCTCCTTCAGTTAAAAAAAACCCCAAAAAAACAACAAACCCCAAAGCCAAGCCCGGCCAACGCCGGCTGAGGAGTGATTGAAATAGACTTGGTAAAACCATTTTCTGAACGTCGCTCCACATAAATACGACGTATGCAATATTCTGTGCAATAAATCTGGTCTCCTGTGCGCCCTGTGTTGCGTTGCAGAAAGGCATCATTTCTAGCAGTTGCATATCATGGGCTTTCAAAATGGTTTTAGCCACCTTGTGGCAGGAGAGTAAAGAGCAGGATTTTATTTGAGGGTCAGTTCACAGACTTCCACTAAGCAGCTGAAAAAGAAGTTGCCTCTTCTCACTTAATCCAGTTTGACACTTCTTACCTATGCTAAGCCACCTAAGAGGAAAAGAAAACCCACCAAAACCCAAACAAAAAACCCCCCAGACTCTATACTGAGTATTGGCTGCCAGGACAAAACAAGCCTATTCACAAGGTACTTTTCATGAAACATTCATGCCAGAATCATTAAAATTTAACAGCATGGGGAAACGCGACCGAAATCTGTATGTCGTCGCTTCAAACTATTTCTTTCAGCTATGCAAGATAAAGCCGCCGAACTGCTCGCGGGATCAATTACTGGTCGCTTCATTGCGCGAGATGCAAAGATCAGAAAATAAAGCAGCTCTTTCAGGATCGGGCAGGTAGAAGATTCTGCTGGGTGAAAATAAAAGCGGCTCGTAACCGGTGCTGGCCAGCAGTCCAGGTTGCCACTCGGCGTTAGCGGTGGTAGGGCTGCACCGCCATACCCACGCCTGCCCTCGCCTACCAACGGAGTTTCAGGTCAGGGCTTTAGTTTTTCCTCTCGGGGCCCAACATCTCCAGCGTGGTGAGAGAGGGACGGGCGGCCCCGGGGCCAGTTGCTGGCTCGGTCAACCCGCGCTCGCAGATGAAGCTGGAGCGCCGCAACCAGGCTCTTCGCTCCCAGGTTGTGCCCCAAACGAGACCTCACTTCCCAAGCAGCGGCAGCAGCTTCAACAACAAACATCCTTTTACCACAATTCAGACAATTATTCGATTCTACCAGCTTCTTTTGAAAATAAAATAAAAATTGTTTATGCGCTATGCCAGCTCCAGGGCTGTTTGCAATCGTGGTAGCGGGGTTTTGGTTTGATTTTGTTGAAACTTTTTCTCCCAACTCAGAAAGTACCCTTTTCTCTCCCTCCATGCAGTAACATTATTTTCCCTTGAGAAAAATTCTCTGCGTTGGCTCAGTGACCAGATATAGTTACACATTAATTCTTCAGAAGTTTCTTAAAACTGTAGGAAACAGGTGAAAAAACAAAACGCCTTGAACTTTAAACTTGAGCCCAGTCTGTTTGAATGAAGCGAGTTTTAAGGTCACTCTTTACTCAATGCTAACTTTCAAGAAGGACTAACATGCCAGAGAGGACTCCTGGGACCGCATCCTGTTGGTCCTTTGATGCTTTCATTTTGTCGCTTGCTATTTTCTTTATAGCACAGACAAGGGCTTCCTGCCCGGTCCGACCCCTTTCCAACCTTGCTGAATACCTCGGAAAAAGTTTATGGCAAGACACCTTTCTTACATTAACCACAGAGGCACCAGAGAAACGATGGCTCCTTTGAAATCAAGAGGTTACGGTCCCCTCGCAGCAGTCGTCTGCTCAGAAAATGTGAGCTGCTGGTTTGTGAAAACAAACAAGAGTATTAAGAGGAACCAGTGCCACGCTGGACGCTACTGGGCACTACCTGAAACACCACTTACCCTACTTTGCAGCTACTTTCCATTTCACTTTTGGATAGTTTACATCCCCAAACCAACAAATCCATCACCAGGAGGCAGAGGGAGGATGCCTTCTCTTTGGTCAAGCATCAATCACAGCGCTGCTCATGTGCCTCGCACCCATTCGGTATCGCAGCTAACATTTGCCTTTTGTCTGTTTGAAACAGTTTCAAATATCACTTTCAACTCTACTGCATAGAGAAATTTCAGTAGATTAATTTTTACTGCTACCAGGGAGAGTTTCGTTCCCAAAGTGACCGCCAGGAACAGCTTACAGAGGCCTCCAAGTGACAGTCGGATAAAACCACCACATGCAGAAAAGATGCTGGGGATCCGATGCGGAAACACACTGGGCACACCGTTAAGACTGATGAACAGACTAAATTTCTAGACGGTGCAGAAATGGGAGGGCATTGCCAGCACATTAGGAGGACAAGAAAAGGAGGATGAAGAAAATGGAAAGCCAATGGATGTGGACAAATTGAGTTGGGGGGGGGGGGAAGTTGTCCCCTCAAGAGAATATTATATCAATATTATTAAGTATTAGACTGTTTTGTCCTAATATTAAGCAATAATAGTAAGTATTATTGTATGAGCCTCAGACAGACTATTACATCAAGTTCTTGCTACCACGATTCAGAAACTTGTGGACTACAAAAGTAGAAAGCAAAGTATAAAGACCTCAGGGCAGAACACTGAGTCCAAGACTTTTTCTGGGGCACAGACTGAACAAGCAGGAGCTTAAAGAGGAGCTGACGAGACGGGGCATAATCACCTACAAATATGGGTAAAGGTTTTATAGAAAAAGACAAGTGGTTCGCCATATACACAAACACACAGGCGGCCAAAATTTCTGCATGAAATAATTAACACAGGTAGGAACAGCCCTCTAATCAGAAGAACAGAGAGGCCATAAGAACAACCATAGTAAGTCACCATGAAAAGGCTTGACAGCCCAGTGTCCCCTATATGATGGTGGTCAACAGCAGCTACCTCAGCAAGAGCGTGAGAACAGGGCAAGGCGACAGCGACGCGTTTCCAGACTTGGGTCCAGACCCTTCCTAAGGCCGAGGCGAGGCATGCTGTGGTGCACAAAGGCCTTTTCCCCGCTGTGAGCTCGCACACCCGCTTTTGTGAACGGTCAGTGATCGCAGCCCCAGGCCCCGACTCCACACGGGTGCACGAGATGCAAATTGGTTTGGGTTTTTTTCCCCTGCCACCTGCTTGCTTCACCTGACGGCTCT